ATGGCAACATTAGCCGTATATGTCAACATAAATTAGACAAATATGGCGGTTGTTTACTTAGCAGTTCACAGCGTCGTTTGAGATATTTAAAGTTAATTATTGTTATAATTCAAGAAATGGTGCAAACTTGTGTATTGCGTGGTTGCGACAGTAGTTGGTGTCCAGGAGGTGATATAAGATTTCACACGTAAGTGTTTAAATAGTGACTTCTGACATTGAATACTTGTAAACATACTTTTGTATTTTCACTTAATTTTTTGCTGAAACGTTTTATCAGTGTTTTAAACATATTAGTAAATTATAACTTTGTCTAAATCAAATAGTTTTACATTGAATTTAATTAAGTTTGAACAATTTTATTGTTTTTGTTTAAAAGAAATCGCACTGAAGTAGTGTGACCATATTGATGATGTATCTGAGACTTTCCGTGTAACCTTAACTAATTATATGTACATGTTTCTTATTATGTTACCGGAAATGCATGAAATTTAGGAATTATGTACACTTCCTATATATTCTATATAATGACGTATTTCATAGATTTCATAATATTAAATTAAAAATGAGTAACATAATATATTCTTTTGGTAGACAATTTATTTTTATTTAGTTTTTGTTTCTCATTATTCTGATACTTTAATAACGTTTTATAATAATTATGTATTTAGAAATGTAGTAGTTTAGATGTATGATATAAAGCAACATTTTGTAAAATATGTTATTATTTGCAGACAATAAGTGCGTTACATGAAGAGTCTATTGTGCAAATAGCTGCTCTGGCTGTACCAAGCACTAGTTCTGGCATTTATGAAAGTAATTCTGCACTTAAGGAAACAGAAGTGGAATGTACTGGCTGTAATATTGAAGACAAAACTAGTAAAAAACTGTCGAAAAATTCTTGAAAATTTATGCAATCTTAACAAATTACCTGTAAGTGTCCTTTTCCTTTATTACTAAATACATACCTTTTATTTGTATTTATTATGACTTTAATATTACATTACATAATGTATTATATAGCTTAAAACACATACATATTTAAACTCTTTAGTGCCAATCGCAGTGTGGTAATAGTTACTACGACACTAAGCATAAAGCTTCTTGTTTGATGCTTCATTTATGCATGCTCATGAAGGCGCGCTCCGGTGTATTATATGTTACCTATTAAGTTATGTAAATTTGTACTGACATTATGATGTAGAAGAGTTATTTGTTTCTTTTTTTGTTAGAGTTCTCTAATCTCTGGAACTATACCAGTCTGAATTGAAAATATTTTTTTGCATTTTTAAAACCAATTCTTCAGGAAGTCTATCTAACATCACGCTACGACCCTTATGAGTGGAGCAATACGATGTACGATGCTAAAAATACTGATTTCATAAAGTTTTCTTGTTTTCTTAGGTCAGCAGTGAATACGACGATCCCGCGAAGATTGATAGGAGCGTGCAAGTGAAAATAAAGTGTACTAAAGAAGAAATACTTGAGACGAAAACTAAGATTCTTAAGCAAAAAGTGGCGCTCCAAACTAAAATATTCAGGATAGGTCTTCTTTAATGGACACTATTAAAAAGTATACGGGTCAGTCAGAAATTGAAAATATTATTCAAGGGCGCTTTGCTCATATTTGTAAGGACTTCAAAAAGCCACAGAGTAATCCACATGGTGTGAAAAATTCAATAAATAATTTTAATATGGAAAGTGTTTTTATTTATTTTTTTAAGGTTTTTAACAAACCATGTAGTGGTGGTGTGAGAATATCCACTACCTCATATCGCTCCGAGGGTGTTGTAAGAGGTGTCAGAGGGAAAATGAAACAGGAGATGGGCAGCGGCATCTTCCTGATAACAACTCAAAATAATAATATATTATCGTTCCTATTATAGTACATATGTTACTAGAAATTTATGAAATCCGTTATTATATAGAATTCCTAGGAATTGTAGATAATTCTTAAAATTAACTGGATGTGTGGAATATAGTATTATACACATTTCAGCTCAGAGCAGCCTGACTCGGATGGGTTAGGTCAGAAGACTAAGGCAGGAGCTCCGCTACGCTGCTTTAGTCATCGTGATATTTTTTTTAAATAATTGTCCAGAAATAGATTTAGTCTGAACAATAAATCAGGTATATTTTGCACAATTCATTGATCACCCGGGGTTATAATAAATTTTAATTTTATATTTCGTTGGTACCGTTTAGGAATTGTATACAATAACCAGAAAATACATTATCGAAATAAAATATTCTCTGATATATTTATTTTCCACATTTTCTAAATAGGCTCGGCATTATATGGGTTGTGACTGACATGCGTGGTCATATTTTAATACCTATTATATATATAAGATATTTATAAATAAAACATTTAATGTAACTCAACTACTTATAGCGATATCCTGGGAAAAATAAAATAAAGGTTACCTACTTAGAAAGGGAGGGCCTGCCCACAGAGAGCGAGATAGTATTACATAGGTTTAGCTTCAAGTAGGTATTCGGAGTGTGGTCTCCATCTTTATCTATAGCTTCATGAGTGGTACGTACTACAATTATTTATTCTGTGGTAGTGGTTATATACCAAAGAGTATTGTAAGTTTGTAACTTCAGGCTCAGAAGGATTTGCACCCAGAGCCGTAAGGCCAGTTGAAAAATACCAAAGAGTATATTAATTAGTAATTGTCTTATACAGGAATTATATACTCTTTGATACAAACTTTTTCAAAATGACTTCTAATCACAAACTATATAGAAATTAGAAAAACGCGGCTTTTAATCGCTAGGCACTTCTTATTATTATTAATTTGTGCTTCTAATCTTCTAATGAAAAATAGTTTATTAATTTAATTTATTGTCGCCCTTGCCTACAAATAGATTTTCTCTTTTTCTAAATCTTTTCCATCGTAATTTTGCAGCTACTTCAATAAATTTGGTGAAACTATATAGAAGAAACTGGAAAATAAAATATTCAAGTTCATATTTAACAAACATTTAATAATTTACTTTCATACTATTTCTGAGAAAAACAATAAAGGTACTTTGCAAGTATTTTAACAAAGTATCTATTACTTATTAAAATAAATTTATATCATATTTAAAGATATTTACAGGACCCCTTTAAAAAGTAGTTCAAACTGTACTAATTTATTGAATGTGTTGATATTTTTCCTATTTCGTTTAATTCTTCCAACCATTACAGACTGTAAAAGTCCATAGCTGAACTTGGCCTCTCCCATTGATTGCCTCATAATGAGGTTCTGACATAGTTGTCCCCATTGGCAGGCAGGTTGGCAACCACAGCTTTATCGGAAAGATGCTGCTGCCCATGTCCTGTTTCAGTTTCCCTCTATCGCCTCTTACTACACATCAGTGATGATATGGGGTAGTTGTACTCTTTCACCAATCTTACTTTTAGAAAGTACATCAGAAACTTGGTGGTACAGAACAAATTAATTTAGTTTTCTTTTTGTGATAAGTACCTACATATTGAACAAGTATAAGTTTTTATATACATACCATATGAAAACAATAAGTGCACCAATTTAGCCTGGGCTTAGTGCCATTTAAGGACTTAATCTAGGTCATTTAAAAATAAAAATAACAAGAGGCAGTTATAAGGACTGCTGACAGAAGTGAAAAGTCAATAATATATGCATATACATGTACACAGATCGCTATACTACACTCTACCTCGACATGCTCATGTCACGGTCACCAGTGACACAATCCTATAAACTTTACCCCTACAAAAAATTGTTCTACGCAGCTAAAGGAGTTTGCACTTCAAAAGCAAGTCGATTTCTAAGCATAAAGATATTCACTCATGGCCGAATAATTGGGCACTTATTTATCTAAACTTTCATTTTTTAGCATTAAAGAAAGATTGTTATGGACATGCCTTTTAGAACCCCGCATGTAGTATTTCTTGAAGGTCCTGAGATAAATAAAAATGTTGCTTACTTATAAATATTTCATATGACCATTTGTAAATTTGTTATTTCATTGAATTCTTTCATATTTAAAGATTTTTTTTTATTTCATTATAGTCAAACAATTTACAAAGAAAATTTATATGAGAACTTGTCTGTCTATTCTCACTGTCCGCCACTGTTGGACATTGGGAAAAAAAGTCCGCCGATCTTCTTGTTGGACCCTACTGGTGGACACTGGGAAAAAATGAGATACTTTGCTCCTCAGTGGTGGATATCGATATCAAAAAAGTTCCATTGTCCCCTACTATTGATTTTGTTTTCATGATTATTATATAAAAACACAAATTTTTAATTAAAATTAAATATAATCCTCAGTTTTTAACATAATATAAAGGTCAGTTTTATTATAATATAAAGCGTTTCATGATGGTGATATGTCTGATCTGGTTGGTGCAGGACATGAGTTCAAGTAATATTCTTAGCTTGTAATTAAGTTTACTTCAGTATATTTATGAAATATTAGTCAATCCCGTGGTTGTGGGATTCAATAAAATAAATTTGATTTAGAAGTTCATGTCCATATGTGCCCGATTTTCCGACCACTAATTATCACCAATAAAGATATTTCTTGTCTTTTCTAAAATACTGAATATGGGAAAACGAGATAACCATTAATTAATTAGATCTGCTTAAAGTTATTATGTGTAGGTTTAATGTATATGTCTATGTATAATGCTTTGCAGTGAAGGAAAATATAGTGAGAAAACCGGCATGTCTGAGACATAAGAAAAAAAAATACTTCGAAGATGTGATGTTTGCCAATATTCGTTGGGGCAAAGTAGTGGACATTTCCTTGTACTAAAACCCTCTTAGAAATGAGAGGAGGCCTGTGCCCAGCAGTGGGACTTATATAGGCTGTAATTATTATTGTATAATGCTTTGCAATCACCTTGTCATTCCCAAGTCACAACAATATTTACTATAGGAATCATTGATTCCTATAGTAAATATTGTTGTGATTCCGAATCATGATGAGAGATTCTTTTAAGTTATATGGTAATTAGCTATTATATGTTTCTTTGTTTTTTTCAGATGAATGAAGCAGTGGTTGTATTGCAGCGTATTAAAATTATTGAATGCAAAAAATGCCCAAAAGCATTCACAGACATGGGCGATTACAAACTTCATAAATTGAAACATCTCCTCCAAAACATGTAAGTATAATATACTGTCTTATTAAAGAATTTAAAACTTAAAATACTGTATATATAATATTGTTTTATACAAAATATATTTTCATGCATATGTATAATATAGCAATTTACTTTTATTATTAATATTTTATCTTGTGTTACTTGCTAGGCAACAGTGATATTTACGAATTTTAGCAATTATTGTTAATTGCACTGGCCTTATTAAAATGTCATAAATTAATGAAAAAACATATACAGTTTAGGGCCATCTAAAAGTAACCACTGTCCCATGTGGTGCATGCATATGAAAATCCATTACCCCATTAGTTCCTATGAGTATTTTAAAATGCACCTAATGAGTTAAGACTAAAATAATAATTTGCGTTAAGTACAAAGGTTGTTTGTTACACATTTTTGTATACAACACCTGAATAAAGGCATTATGAAGGTTGTACTCACAGACATAATAATTTAGATCTATGTCTGTGGGCGGACATTCTCTCCCAGTCAACCTGGGAGGTTTGGAAAAAAAATGATAGTAATAAATATTTGGTAATGTTAATAATAAGTACCAAATATTAACTCTAGTCTTAACCTAGATATCCGACATAGAGAAGTATCCACCAAGAAACATGGTTGTTTATTCACAAACAATCCATCAATGTCTACATAGCCTTTAAAACTACTCACTCACTCTACTTACATTTTCTTTGTAGACAAAAACGAAGGAAAGAAAAGAATAAGAAGTATTATCAATCTAATAAAGAAGGGTTTGAAAGAAAAATTCAATGTGACGAGTGTGATATGAAGTTTGTGCAAAGTAGCACACTAGAAGCCCATTCCGCCCTGCACAAGCCTTTCCCACATGTGTGTGACTGTGGAGTAGGGTTTTACGTAAATAATGACTTAAAGTGTCATATCAAATTAGTTCATGCAGACGAAGATGGTGTGAACCAATCCAAAGTAAAAAAACAAAAGAAAAATAAAAAAATACAGAACCTAAAGGAAAATTTGCCAATTAGGAGTAATAAAAGATTAACTAAATGAAAAAGGATACATGAAAAGTAAGTCTGAGAATGATTTACTATAATAGACTGACTGAAACTTATAAAAACCTAAATTTATATAGGGAAAGTAGCATTTGTCCAAATTTTAGTGTAAACTTAGCGAAGATCCACCTACTAAACGGACGGATTTCCGCAAAGTAACACCTGATTCTATTATCAAATTATAGTAGCCAAATAAGATATTTTAAGATACTTTAAATTTATTGCCAAAGTAACTATTAGTTGTAAGAGTTAAATGTTAAAAAATTAAAAAGTTTTGTTACTTACATTATAATATTATAAGACTTTTACATGAATTGAAAATTATTTACAAGCACATTTCGTATTTCCAGATATATGATCAAAATAGCAATGTAGTTTATTCATGCAAAAATCTGAAAATGTAAAATGAAACTTATTTAATTATAAGAGGCTTATATGATGGCTTGTTTGTATTATGGCAATTTTAGTGAAAGTGTATTTAAAGTGGCTATGCAAATATTGGTTGGTTTTTCTTTGGTTATGTTGTTATGGTTATGTGTTCGCTGGAAGGTAGTGGTCGTCTTCCCCATGGTGACCAACCGGCTTAGAGTATATTTTTCTGAAGTTGGTTTTGGATAAAGTTGTGGTTGGTGTGATTCCAGGTGCTGTTGGTCATTACAAGTTTTTTAAGACCTCTGAAGCTGATTTACCTCGTTAAACTTCAGTTCTTACATTCAATAATTTCTTTTGTTGTTCCCTTGGTATTTGGGGGTGTCTGCATGTCTTTTGTGTTTACTTTCTTCTGAATTGATGAGTTTGGTGAGCCTGATTTATCCCTCTTCCTTTTGTCTCTGGATTTGTCTGTTGGTTTCTTTACTAATATTTTATCATATTTTAGAAATGGTAAGGCTTAGGCTAAAGGTTATGATGTTATTGATTTCGTTACTATCAATGTGTGTACCTGTTTCTATTATTGTTTCCTTTATGTGATCTACCAACTCTGCTTCTGAGTTTTCCTATCTCTTCTATTCCAAACAATACTAGATTATATATCCGTTTCTCCTTTTCTAATATACTGATTTTCTGCTCAAGTGTAGATAGATGTTTTGGCTTTTAGTTGAGTATTTTCTTCCGATATTGTTTTAAGTCTTTCGTCTATCGTTTCCATAACGCATTTTGTTACTGACGCAGTAATTTAATTAGCTTGTTTGTTTATTAAAATGCATATTTGACTGTACTATCTGGATATTTTTTCTCCCATCTCACTCATTAGTTAAAGGTTTTTTGGGCAGGGAAGAGTTAACCATGCTGCCTTAATGGTTTTGTTCATGCTCACATGGATAATTTCACAAAGACAAACATCCATTTTTATACGTGGTAGAGCCATGCTGCAGTTATATTATGGTTGTAGCACAAATGTGTCGGCTTGACCGGGGAAGGACCACGTTCTCACAGAATACCAGCGTAAAATAGCAGCTTAATGCTGCTGTGTTTCGTATGGTGAGTGTAGAGAACCGGTGACCCTTTTTACTGGAAACGAGGCATTCCATCTTAGTCCTCACGGGTGACAACGCATCTGCATTTTGATTCGTAATACTAGATAGATGTAGATGTCTATGGGCCACAGCAGCCACTTAACATCCGGTGGACTGTGTGCTCGTTTGTCACCCTTATCCTATAAAAAAAAATCCAGACCCGGAACAATTACTTGTAGGCCAAACAAGTACTTGTTCCGTGCCGGATTCGAACCCACGGCCCTTGGCGCTGCAACTCATTGCTAACCGCCAAGGAGCCGTCGAAATAATAGAGATCAACATTAAGCTGTTTGTGTACTATTCAATTTAGGTTAGTGCCTAGTTTGTCACTTCCTCAGTTACCACGGCTCTGTTAATTTCTGTTATTTGTTAATTCTATATGATCAGTTCATATGTATAAATGAAAAGTAAGTTTTGTAGTTGTCTCAAGATTTGAATGAATCAACTCTATTTTTGAGACTAGTTTTTATAAATGATTTTGTACATATTTATGTAATAACAAAATTTAGATAGTTTTAAGTTGATACTGAATTAATCCATTACTGAATAAATACATCTTAATTCATTCCTTGTTACAATTATTCAAATAAATTTTACTATCTTCGAATGTTAACGTTTTTTAAGTGTTTTCATCATTAAATCATTTTTCATATCAATTAAATACAATTTGTTAAATAATTTAATATTATAATTGAATCGCATATTGTAAAAAGGTTCATTTAAATTAACTTTAGGGAATTAAGTAAAAACTTTTTATAATTTACTGATGTTGATGTTTACACATTATATAGTATTATTTGCTTTTCTACTTAAAACAGTTTTAAAAGTGTATAAAAATAATTTATAGTTTATTAGTTATTTAAGATTTCTAATTTTGGATTAATGCCTTCTTTTCTGCAATAAAATTACGTGGTAGAGCCATGCTGCAGCTATATTAGTATTATAGTTGTAGCACAAATGGGTCGGCTCGATCGGGGAAGGACCACGCTCTCACAGAATACCAGCGTAAAATAGCAGCTTAATGCTGCTGTGCTTCGTATGGTGAGTGTAGACAACCGGAGACCCTTTTTACTGGAAATGAGGCATTTCATCTTAGTCCTCACGGGTGACAACACATCTCCATTTTGATTTTTAATAGAGGATAGATGTAGATGTCTATGGGCCGCAGCAACCACTTACCATCAGGTGGACTGTGTGCTCGTTTGTCACCCTTATCCTTAAAAAATCCTATAAAAAAATATCTATAGAATCAAAACAATGTTTATTCTTAAACTTAAATTAAAACTATGCCACATAAGTAATAAAACCGTACCGTACAGAGGCAAAGCTTCATACAACCGCGGTATGATAATTAAACTACTACAAGCTTGAGGCGCGTGTGTGCGTGAGCACTGGCGGCTCGTAACGTACAGAGAGAAACTGCTTATAACGGCTCGGCGAGTGCTCAAACTCAGGGTTGTGTAAAGAATAATAAGTTTAAAAAATTATTTTAATGATTCCTGTCACATGAAATATAAAAAAGTGTTTGTATGCTTTACTGTACTGTTTGTATGAACAATAATTATCCGAAAGACTCCACTAGGTAAGTAGTAACTTGACTATAATTTATTATTTTTAATATGGTAGATAGACTCTCCTATAAGTGACCTAACTACATATAAATGACTGAATAGTTATTTTTATAATGTTTATAATTGAATAATTAATAATAATAAAGCCCTTTTATTCCGAACTACATGCAGTTTAACATTTTTGGTTTTATAAATTTTATTTCTTATATTATATCAAAATTGATAAGGGCGTGCTTCGGTGGTTTGGGCACGTTGAGCGAATGAGTGAAGACCGAATGGTGAAGAAAATATATAGCGCGAAAGTTAATATTAAAAGGTGTCGAGGTAGACCGAGACTAACTTTCGAAGACCATGTGAGCAAATTGCTCGAAGAGGGTAGGGTCAAGAGTACTCGGATACCTAGACGTGCATTTATGAAGAAGATAATGAATCTGAAAGAAGCGAAAGAGGTATGTAAGGATCGTGACACTTGGCAATCTGTTCTCTCTGGCTACCCCGTCAGGGATTGTGCGTGAAGATAAGTAAGTAAGTAAGTATATCACGCAATTCGGCGTGCCTCTTGGCATAGGCCTCCTCCAGCTCTCTCCATTGAGCCCGGCCTCTGCAACTCTGGTCCAGTATGGTCCTAGAGTTAGGCGGATATCGTCACTCCATCTTGTTTTCGGACATCCCTGTCTTCTGATGTCTCTTGGATACCATAAAGTTACTTGTTTGCTCCATTTATTTATTTTGCTACGTAGCATAATATGTCCTGTCCAGCTCCATTTTAGATGGTCTATATGAGTTATTATATCTGTTACTTTTGTCTTCTTTCTTATTTCCACATTTCGGATTCTGTCACTAAGCCTGATTCCCAACATGCTTCTTTTATTCCGAACTACATGCAGTTTAACATTTTTGGTTTTATAAATTTTATTTCTTATATTATATCACGCATTTCGGCGTGCCTCTTGGCGTAGGCCTCCTCCAGCTCTCTCCATTGAGCCCGGCCTCTGCAACTCTGGTCCAGTATGGTCCTACAGTTAGGCGGATATTGTCACTCCATCTTGTTTTCGGACGTCCCTGTCTTCTGATGTCTCTTGGATACCATAAAGTTACTTGTTTGCTCCATTTATTTATTTTGCAACGTAGCATATGTCCTGTCCAGCTCCATTTTAGATGGTCTATATGAGTTATTATATCTGTTACTTTTGTCTTCTTTCTTATTTCCACATTTCGGATTCTGTCACTAAGCCTGATTCCCAACATGCTTCTTTCCATTGCTCTTTCTGTTTTAACAAGTTTTTCTCTATGTTTGTCCGTTAATGTCCATGTCTTGCATGTATGCATATGTCATGCAGGGGAGAATACAAGTGTTGAAAGTTTTTCTCTTGATATGTATGCCTAGATCTGTGTTCTTCATTATTTCTTTCAAGGACCAGTATTTCCTCCAACCACAGGTTATTTTTTTGTTTATTTCCTTGGACATGGAGTCTTCAGCAGATATAATTTGTCCTAGGTATACATATTCTTTCACATATTCGAACTTTGTTCCGTAGACCTCTATGTTGCCTTCTGTTGAGTTAGTCATTAGTTTTGTTTTATCTGCGTTAATTTCTAAACCTACTTCTCTGCTTTTTTCTGCTGCTTTTCTTGCGTGCTTTTCTTTCTTCTAGGAACTCTATTGTCTTCTCACCAAACTTCACATCTTTAGTTACCTTTACTTTCCGCAAATTTGATAGTCCTTTGTTCATGTAATCGTATTTTTCTGTGACACTTCTGTCAGAGTTTACTATTTCTTTCAGTGTGTTGATGAACGAAGGATCTATTTTTTCTCAGTGTTGTTCTAATGTCAAATTATTTTTAATTTTATTTCTACCTCTTTTTGTTGGCTTATTTTTATCTTTGACTTACTTTTGTTTGGCTTATTAGTT